ATCAGCAGAATTACTGGACTCGCGTCCTCGAGATCATTCTCCTGAGTCGGACTTTGCGTGGCTACTTGGTATTGAGAAACGCCTAATGCCGGCGCTTGTTTCTTGTGACAAACATGCCGAGAAGCAAGAACAAGATCTGCAGTATGTCATCCATAGTTGTTTACTATTTCGCTTTCTTCTTCGCGCGAAAATGACGTCGATCGCTTCTTTCCGGCAAACACCACGCCTATCAAGTGGCGGTGGAAACGCTAGCCGGATCATGGTCTACAGACCCGAACCGTACTGTACTGTACCGTACCGCCCAGTGGAAACGCGCCATTAGTGTGGCTTAGCGCCACGGTTACACTTAGTTGGGGACATTTAATTTTATATTTAACAATATTATTACATTCGTTATTACATCGTTTTCTCGCGATGCGAAGAGATCTATGGCAGCCTGTCCACATCTCAGGCATATCTGACTCAACGCCAGCGGGTGGAGTGTCCAATCTCTGACATAGGATTTCCTCTGGACAACAAATCTGCCCCTCTGTTCATTCGTCCCGGTACAGGCGCTGCTCGTAATGACAGAAACCAAGTGTTGCCCCACACGATTAGTCTCTGCGCTAGACTGTGTAGCTGTCGAGAGCGCGCTCCCCCTTGTCTGTGTGTGTGTTTTATTACCCTTAGACGATTCGTTGGGATAAACCCTGAAAGAGGTTTGAAGACCTGCAGAGGCAAGGTGGTTTCAAAGAAGACTGGAAAACTTCTGCCACTGTCAATCCCAAAGCTGCTTCTCTCCTAAAGAACCTCATCGACGTCGAATGGAATTTCGTCTCGGTAACTAAACTCAAACGCCCACTGACACTCACATTTGTGCAGCTTCCTAAAAGAATCAGCACCTCTTAACTGCATTCATATTCAGTAGTAAGAAAGTATCTGAACCCTTTGGAATTGGAGGATTTTCTGCATTTCTTGGTCATAAAATGTCATGTGATCTTCATCAGTCACATGTATAGACAAAACACAGAGAGTTGAAGCTATAGCTACACACACAATTATAATCTTTCATGACTTTACTCAACACATCCCATTAGCCACTCTCAGTGCTGTGTAATAAAAATGCAAATGTTGTAAGTGACAACCTTGTTGTTACCTCTATGAACCACTAATGTTGTTTTTGTTTTGTGATGGTTGTTCATTAGTTAAACTTAGTTAAACTGCCCAATGTTCTTAAGAGAAATCCACCATGTCCTGCACAGTCTTTGGTTTTCCAGCATATTCTGCACAGTTCAACCCTTTACAATAGTGACTGCATGATTTTAAGACCCATCTTTTCACAATGAGAACTACTCATGGACTCAACTATTACAAAGAGTGCCAGGGGGAGAATTTCATTCTGAACAACAGTGGACAGTTTAACTGCTCAGAACAAGGGAATCGTGAACAACTATTACAGAAACAAAACAAAAAAAACATTTATGGGTCATTAAGTAACAACAAGAAGTTCACTTACTGCAGCACTCTGAATGTTTAATGGATTGTGTTTAGTAAAGACATGAAAGATTGTAATTGTGTGCGTGTTGTTAGCTTAAAGGGCTAGTTCACCCACAATAATCTTTCATCATTACATGTGATCCCTGCTGTATATATGAACTCAGTGGATGAATCAATGCCTTCACTCTAAAAAATGCTGGGTTGTTTCAATCCAACTTTGGGTCAAACATGGACAAACCCAGCCGTTGGGTTAAATTTTAAAATGACTTTTTTAACCCAATGTTTGGGTTTGTCCATATTTGAACCAAAATTGGGTTAAAACAACCCAGCATTCTGAAGCCAAACGATAGGTCTGTGTAGTAAAATAAAGAGAACCTAAAAATGCTATATTAACTAGAACTCATTGCTTCCAGTTTACTGTCATACGAGCACTTACGAAAGGGGCATTGTGACATGTGAATTGTGAAAGCTTGTGCGAGAAGTAACACAGAAGCAAGGATGACCAACACTTCGCAACTTCACAACTCACTCACGTCACGTCACCATCAATGTTCCCTCTATTTTTTTTTCTTGCTGAGCAAAACTTTTTTCTATTGGGCGGACATTTTTCGCCACCTGAGCAAAAATATTCTTTATACCCGACCTGTACAGCATACGTAGAAACACAATGGGTTCAACATTCAGTTGTAACTTTTAACTTGAATGTGCCATTTCTATTTTATTTGACCCTTGATGTAACTTATTGGTAAATCATATTTTCGAAAAACAAGCTTCTTAACAAATTAAGAAGTCACTAAATGAAGCACATTTTAGGTTACCTGATTTTTTTTTTTTTTACAGCGCTGTTAACTGTACAGTCTTTACCAAGAAATCCTATGAAAAAAAAATTTACAAAATCTTCTGCAGGACAGTTCAATTCTGACAGTTTAAATGCTTCAATTTGTTTACATATTATAATATCATAATATGAAAACAAACTGAAGCATTTAAATGGATCTAATAGCTAAATATTTTCAAGAAAAGTGAATGTGAACTCTATTAAAATCTAACCATCCCTGAAAAACATCTATTTAAACTAATGATGTATTTTGAGTTTGCACGCGGGTGGGTGTGTAATTGTTACCGTTCTGTGTCCATCAACCGTTATTTCCACCACTTTAATCAAACCACTCTTCTTTAAAACATTATGATGTGATTTTATTTCACATGTCTTTGCGTTTCTCGTTGCCTCTCGTGTTGAGCTATTTGGTCCGCACACACACTCACTGCCAATCACACGTGCTCACATCGTTCTCTTTCTATGGAACCTGTAAACTGCATTCACCAGTTTTCACTCTAGCGGTTGACCAGAGCACTGAAATTATTTCTCACTTAAACTACAATCAAATAGATTTCCCCACACATTTCGCGTCAGTCCTCTGCCTGACATTTTATTCATATTTTTAATACACACATCTATCGTTTGACTTCAGAAGACATTGATTCATCCACTGGGGTCTTGTGAATTAATGTCACGATCATTGTGCTGTTGTTTATTTAAGTGTCAAAAGAACGGCAGCCAATCAATGCCATTGTATGGACTCAAAGATTGTCAAGTATAATAGCATGGGTGAGTAAACTGTGACTGGTGAAGATCCGATGACATTTTTATGACCAATTAATGCAGAAAACCAACCAATTCCAAAAGGTTGAGGGTTCTTTTCCCCCACTGTACTCTCAAATACTTATTCTGCTTTAAACATTTGTTTGCACATATAACTTAACAGGTCTCTATACACACACTTATAATATACATTCACACTCAATCACTTAACTATCTACTCCTTTCCGGCTAACTGGAAAACACACAATCACTTTCTTTTTACACACAGCTAAACTTTCTGGTCTTGTCTTGACCCCATAATCTTTCTGTTAACCTTAAGTGTCACCATTAGCCATAGCCATTACATATTTAAAACAGTAATATATCCTATACTAAACCTAAACTAATATTGACAATATATATATCATTTGAAGGCTTACAATCTGTAGTTTTCATATTTTGTGATTGATTTTCAAAATAAATTACAGAGGAGCCGTAATCTATCAATTTGCAACAAGAATATTTTCATACTCCTAAGGCGTGTTCGACCTTGTTGAAACCTGTTTGTTTTCATGCCAATAGTTCAAAAGATAACATCCATTATTTTTTTTTCTGAAAATGGTTTAAAGGATAGATTCACCATTTGTGATACGGCGGCGAGCTATAACGCACATGTGTGTTCTTTTTATGTGATTATTAGAGGTTGAATTCATATCAAAATATGCCAAACTTCCCTTACTACTTCTGAATAGGATGCCTACTTCATAAATTGAATGAAAATTGTGGAAATAATGGTTCAGATCACTCTGATCACACATATGGAAATGGAGGCGCCCTTATATGGGCAGTAATGGTGTCTGGACAGTGGACACACATTTGAAACACAACTTGTTCAGAGTTTTCTTGCATTTTTAGAGTCGCCCAGGTTTTGAAAAAATATATTTTATATAAAATATGAATAATTAAATTTTTACGTTTTACATTTTCATAAACTCAAACTTCTCTAACTTTTCTTCTGTTTCACTTTCTTAATTTATTTAACTTCTACAAAAATGTCTAAACAAAAACAAGACCAATCTTACGTCTATATTCCCAAAGCATTCTTGAATTACAACCATTTAAGTTCAGATTGTGCATTTTCATGTATATTCAAAATAAGGGGCGTGACACAGAGTTTAAGATTATGTTTTTTATGTTTTTCTTCCATGCTGTAACAAACATACACCCTCTTTTGCTCTCTTAGATTAGTTAAGTACATTAACATGATCATTGTATGTCTTTTAAAAGTGTTCGCAGAGTAGGCTTTGTGATCACTAGTTTTTGCCATGTGCTTTATTTTACCACTAAGATTTTCTTGATTTTCTTTCCTCTCAGACCTGGATTTCCTCAGACCAGATGTGTCAAAAGCTGATGTGGGACATGTTAGCTGTTTTTTGCCTCTTCTTACGTTTTTTCACCCATTGGTACTCGTGATTATGAAACCTGCTCATCTCATTGAATTTTAAAATGTATTTTCTGTGACTTTTTTTCCTTAAAGGGTACCCTAACCCTACTGTTAATGAATTGTTAAAACCTGTTACCCGTTTTAAATAAATGGCAAACAATGAACTGCACCATAATCTATTTTTTCTTTTTTTTTCATTGAGTAAAAAGTCTGTTTGGAATGTCTGTATACATTATGCTACATATAGGGATGTTAATAGATATCAGACAATAGAGTAAATAGAAAACAGTATTTATATTATAACTTTTTTATACTGTAGAATTATAGCTGGAACCATTGCTGCCAGTGCTTTGTGAAATTACAGCACAGCCGTAAAATTAAAAACGGTAGAATTACGGTAAATGGCTGGAACCACAGCTGCCAGTGTTTTACTGTAAATATACGGTTGAATTTTTTACAGTGCAGTTGATGAGATCAGAGGAAGTTACCAACCAGAGGAGGAGCTGATAGTGTTTAAAGGAAGAGCTGTAACTGTATATAATGAAGAGGAAGACTGACAGAAACAGAAATGTCTGATAAGTGTGATCTGTGTCTGCTGGGACTGATCATTCTCTCTTCACTTCTCACAGGTAAAGAAATCTGTATTTTCTCTAAACACATTTAGTGGAATTAGTCTGGAAAGAGTTGATTTGAACATGCTCAGTTTATTCTTGCACACATTCACGTTGTGATCTCAGAGTTGTGTATTGATACACACATATCATACTGTATTATTCCTGATACTGGACATAGTGTCACTCAAACATCTGATGATGAAGAATGATCTTCATATTAAGAGTGTGTCAGTGATTTGAACAGCTCTCTGATAAACACTAATAGTTTATTCTGGAGAGTGTGTTGTTTGCTTTAAGTGAAGAAAAAAGGGTAACACTTTACAATAAGGGTATATGCAGGGTGCGATTTGTGAAAAAAACAGGATGTTTTGAAAAAGTTTTATTCCTAAAAATAAATCATGAGAACATGAACTTCATCACTGCATTTACAGGAATTGTAATCTTTTTTCTTATTAACTCATGAAGTAGCCTGTAACGTACGGGCAGAGACGGTCGGATCCATGCGCAGAACTTTATTAGACAATCAAGCACACAAAGAAACAAGGGCAATCCAATAAATCGTGGTACAAACAGGCATAGGTCGAGGCAGGCAGGGCGAGGCGCAGAGGCGGGGCCGGCAGGGCGAGACGCAGAGGCGGGGCCGGCAGGGCAAGGAGTCTGGGAACACCCACCGGAGCCTGGCGAACCAAACGAGTCCTCCTTCTCCTCCTGCGACGGCGAGTCACTGGGCTTGATACTCTCCCTTGGCTAGATTCGGCATTTGACTCACTTGTCTCGGCATTTGACTCACTCGATACACTTGATTCAGTTGACTCACTTGACTTGGGACTTGACTCACTTGACTTGGGACTTGACTCACTTGACTCGGGACTTGACTCACTTGACTCGGGACTTGACTCACTTGACTCGGGACTTGACTCACTTGACTCGGGACTTGACTCACTTCACTTGACTCACTTGACTCACTTGACTCGGAACTTGATTCGGGGCTAGATTCACTTGACTTGGAACTTGACTCAGGGCTAGATTCACTTGACTCGGGATTTGATTCTTTCGAGTCGGCTGGCACGTGCTCAAACTCCAGTTCGGCCGGCGAAACCTCAGCTGTATCTGGATTAGCAAGTTCAACAAAACCAGTGCGGAATACGGGCTCGAGGGGTCCGATACGATGGGTGGGTTTGGCAGGAACGGTAAACTTGAAAGCCCCTCTGACGGTCATCTAGGAAGGATCGAACAGTTTGTGGAGATGAGGCTTTAGCGGCGTGCGGAACGAGTGAGAGAAATCAGCCGCAAACGAACCTCCCCGACGCAGGGACAAGAGCAGTTCCTCAGGATCTTCTCCTGCGGGGAGTTCAAAAGCCTCTCTGAATAGGGCGATAAATACCTCATAAGAAGGGAACGACATCCGACCTGGTTCCCAGAATGTACCGACCCACTCCAGAGCCTTTCCAGTGAGCAGTGAGCAGATGAAGGAAACGCGGTCGTCATTCGAGGTGTACAACTGGGGCTGAAGATTCATATATACGCTGCACTGCTGAAGGAATCCTTCACACGCCACAGGTGAGCCATCAAACTTGTCAGGAAATGCCAGACTGAGATAGTCAGATGCGGTACTCACACTGGGTTGCGGTGGAACAGGTGCAGCGGCAGTTCGGGCTTGATTAGCCGTTGTGCTTGAGCTCTGCGTAGACCAGGTTTGCACGGAGCTTGCTAGTTCCTCGAGGAGAGAAGTTAGTCTCGCCAACTGAGAATGATGAGAGGCTAGCATGGAAGCTCGGGTCTTGACCACGGTGGATGCTGAAAGTTTGCTGGATCCATGTTTGGCGAAGTACCTGTTTCTGGATTGTCCTCTCAATAAAGCCTGCATTTGGATCACCACTGTCTGTTTCCACCGAGCAGTTCATGACAGAATACTGAGCCACTACTGATCCAGCGGCTGAGAGGAACACGGACCTCGTTATGGATCCCACAGCGCAGATCGTAAGCCTCCGTCAAGGAGAAAGTCCTCTCAAGGTTTTTGTGACAGATTTTTTGAAGCTCGCTCGTCAGTCCTACTTGATTGATTTCTGTTTGATGATGTTCTTTCGGGGAGGATTGTCTGAACCGCTCGGCTCTGCTATACCGTTTCCGTGTTCAAGCTGGACTCTAACCCAATATATTGACCTGGCCCTTTCCATGAGCGGTTCGGCTTTTACTGTGGATTTTTTGAAACTTTTGCTTCACAAAGGACCCGACGATTCGCCACTTTACAAGGTACCCACTGAATCCACGCATCAATTGTCTCCTGGCGAACCCGCGCTTCACTTCAGCCCTGCCGAGACCGCGCTCCACAAGCCTGCAATTCACGTCTGTCCAGCCGAACCCGCTTTACGTGAGCCAAGTCGAGCCTGCTTTTCACGACATGCCTGAGCTTCTTCCCGCCGAGACCGACATGCCTGAGTTTCTGTCTTCCGAGCCCGCGGTTCACGAGTCAAGAGAGTCAAGTCCCAAGTCAAGAGAGTCAAGTCCCAAGTCAAGAGAGTCAAGTCCCAAGTCGAGTGCCGAGTCAAGTGAGCCGAGTGCCGAGTCAAGTGAGCCGCGTGCCGAGTCAAGTGAGTCAAGTGCCGAGTCAAGTGCCAAGTCAAGTGAATCTAGTGCCGTGTCAAGTGAATCGAGTGAGTCAAGTGCCAAGTCAAGTGAGTCAAGAGCCGAGTCAAGTGAGTCAAGAGCCGAGTCAAGTGAGTCTAGTGCCGAGACAAGTGAGTCAAGTGCCGAATCTAACCAAGTGAGTGAATCTAGCCAAGTGAGAGATTCAAGCCCAGTGAAGCGCTGTCGCAGAAGGAAGAGGAGGACTCGTTTGGCTCGCCAGGCTCCGGAGGGCGTTCCCAGTTTCCTCGCCCTGCCGGCCCCGCCTCTGCGCCTCGCCCTGCCGGCCTCGCCCTGCCGGCCCCGCCTCTGCGCCTCGCCCTGCCGGCCCCGCCTCTGCGCCTCGCCCTGCCTGCGCCCTTCAAGCTCCGGGAGGCCTTTCCTGAACCTGTTTACCACCTGGAGGTTTCTCCCGTGGATTTCCCCAAGTATTTTTTGGGGGGGGGGGGGGTAGGAGGTTAAATCCCCCTCCCAGTGCATGGATAGTGCCACTCTGCTTGACATGTCAAAACACTTATTTATGAATGGCAAAATTAAATGGCACAATGTATTGTCAACTTAAACATAAATAGGCTATAGTGTAGGCCTTTGCATCATACTAGGAAAACAGTCTTTTTCTGCTTTCCTGTGGGAAAATCCGTAGCTTTCCATTGGGTGGTCCATTTCGGATTTTATTGTTCTATCGCACTGACAGTTCACATTACAGCGCTTTACTTATGCTGCGTTCCAGGCAGATTTTTGAGCACGTAAATCACAACTTCAAACCACGACTCACGGCTTTGTAGCGTTCCAGGCCAGTCACGCCAAACTACCTGAGCGCAATATACATAATTATTGTTTCAGACACATAACATTGTAATACATAATCGTGTGTATTATTATTATCATTATTATTAATTTGACTGCAGCGTTATATTGTCCTTAAGTGTATTCTCACCGTGTACCGCCTGCAGAAACACTGCATCCGGGGCTGCCATTGTTGTTTTGTATGGTTTGATTGGTTTCACGGGCTATGTGACGTCAGAGCTCGTAACTGGGAGTACATCGATCTAGTACGAGTTCACGGGTGGGAAGTCACGGGTTTGACTGCCGTTCCAGTGCACTTTCACGTGTATAAGGTTGGAAAAACACGGGTTACAGGTTGCCTGGAACGCGGCATAAGTTTAGGCTAGGCTACTTCTATCAGTCTGCTGAACCATGGATTGATTGCAAAGTTAAACCATCACAGTAGAAACAGTTGTACTGCTGTTAAAGTAATAACGTTAACGTTACATCGCGATGCTGAGCTACAGTGAAATGATAGAAAAGACAGATGTATTATCTGTGTCAATTCGCGCCTAAACGCTAAACGCCTCCGACACACAGCTCCACGGCACAGTCTCGCAAGTGTTGATAGGCTATTACACGTGAGGAGTAACCAATCAGAGAGCGCCGTGGGCGGGACATTGAGCAAGTCTGCAGAGAGCTGATTACAGAGAGGCCCACGCTTGTAAATTTACTGTTGTTCTGTTATTTTTTGTGTTTTATACTTTTGTTTGTGGTTTTGATACGAACCAAGTGTTCTATGGGATACTGATTTTCCCCCATCACATTTATCTGTATCTGCTGTTATTTCCATGGGTAATTGAATATATTTTAGGGTGAAATTCATTTAATTTACATTAGAGATATATTTACTGAGACTTTGTGAGGTACTCAACAGGTAGTTTGAGAAGTATTTATCAAAAGTGATATACACTTCTGTCTTTTGATAATTCAATCCAGGGTTTATTAATACACTAGTCATTTATTTGATAATTTTTCCCTTTCTGTTTAATAAATCCTATTGTTAACTTCTTTAAACTTACCTTGTGTGTTGATTTAGGGTTTTTCTCTGTTGGGTCATCGCCATTAAATATAAGCATATTACTAAAAGAATACAAATATATTTAATCTGAGTACAGTAGTCAACTAGGGTCATAGGAGAGACATTATTATAAAGTCGAGAGACATTTCAGAACCTGGGTGCTCCGCCCTATTAATGGTCAATGGTAGGGGGCGCTACAGACATTTTAAGGTATTAGTGTATTTTCTACGGTTGAAGAGGAGGATCAACTAATCCTGTGCCATCCAGTAATGTTTATGACAAAGCTGCATATGATATTAAACTATTTACAATTTGTTTCAAAGTCAGGGTACTTCTTATTCCTTACTAAAAGAGGCAGTTTGATTTGGTTTATCCATAAATGTTAATGAATGCATTAATTATCAAACATGTATAACATGTAGTGAAGGCTGCCGTTATTCATGTGTGAATCCATAATGACTCCAGTCGTAGTTCAGGATAACTCTTCATTGGTTCATGATTAGTTCAGGCTTTTAATCAGAGGTGTAAAGTCCAGGGGTCAGAA